CTCTGGTTCAGACCATTCGCCACCAAACCTGGGATGCCTTTTCTCTCAGGACTGTCATCCAACTCATGTGCAGCCAGCATATTTTCATCCAGACGAGCTGGGAAGCCGCCGCCACCAGCCTGAGCTTCATCCTGTAGAGAAAAGTTACTTTAAATCTTCCCTTTTATGCAGAACAGGCTGGCACACCTGTTCCATCAGATCAGATGTTAAACTGCCTAAAATGTCTGGAATGACCTTTTAATGACCCTCACCTCATCATCTGAATCGGCGTAAGCGGATGCCACTGCCCCCCACACTTTGCTGGCCACGTTTGCTGCCTGCTTCATGCTTGACTTGAGCACATCGATTTTAGGTCCTGTTAAGAACGTGTCCATCTTGATACCTGAAATGGTGTTAAAGACCGAGCCCAGCGACCCCCCCTGAGAGGACTTGACCAGTGCGGTCAGTGAGGACGATCGCTGGCCCGGGCTCGCTGTAGAGCTCGCAGGCGTCTTTGTCTTTACTGCAAAAGTCTTGGAGCGGGTTACAGTGCTGGGGCTGCGTTTGGGGGTGTTGCTCGGTGAGCCAGTTGGGGTTTTCACAGGAGGCACCGGGAGGCTGGACCTCCGCTCCAGAGTCTGTTTGGGCTGAGGTGCATCCGTGGAGTCTACCTGCGGCTGCTGGAGCTCCATGCTGGAGGATTTGGTACCCAGCGGGGTTTTCAAGCTCATGTACAGCTCGATCTCCTCAGCCAGGTTACGGGACACCACAGCAGGCACGGAGCGTGGCGGTTCCTGACTGTTGACAGAGGCCGACTCTTCGCTCTCTGACACCAGACGTGACAGTGGGTCAGCTCCCACTTCCACGTCGGCCCTCTCCAAAATGGGTCCTCGCACTCCAGAATCATCCTCATTAGTTTCAGTGTTTTTTCTTACTTGTTTCTCCCTATTTACTACGGTACCCTTCACCTCTTTGTCGTCTGTCTTTCTTTCTTCAGCGGTTTCTGGGTCCTCTTCTTCTGGAAGCTTTTTAAGTCTCAACCCCTGATTTTCCTCAGGCTCTTCCTCCAAGTCTTTAAAAAGTGGTTTGGGCATAATGTTAGGGGGTGGGCTTTGACCTCCTGAGAGGACTCCAGCTAGGATACGAGCATCAGCGCCCATTCGGCTGGCCATGTGGTCCATGCCTGCCTCAGAAAGCATTCCAGCACGAGTTTCAGCGCTGAAGCTGCAGCTGCGTTCAGAGAAGGATTTCTGCCGCTGATGCTGAGACTGGTGAGCTACGGCCGGGGACGGCAGCGAGGGATCGTCATCGGTAAGTGACACGTTATCGTTCTTGCTGTGTCTCCTGAACAGCTTCCCTTTACCTGCACACAGATACAGTTATTGTAGTGCAACAATTACATTTATGTAGCTTAATTGAAACAGGAACAAATAATCTTTACAAATTCAAAGGTGATGCCAATTTCACAGAATTTCCACCAAAACCTTTAAAGTATTTGAGCTAAATCTACTTTCTTACCTGTTTCTCCGTCAAAGCTTCCCGTGGACAGCCTAACAATACTGTGGACATGCGGCGACCCATCGACAGGACTGTGGGGCTCTCCCACTGCTACTGCACTGTCCACTGAGCCAGCTATGTCCCCTCCTGGTTAAAAAGAAACAAAAATAAAAGTAGTGGTTTGTG